GTCCAAACAGAACTTCTTACTAATGGAATATGGAAAGAATGAGGATGATTCATATTCAAGTACATGGCATGACAGTTCCCGGCTGCAGAGATCAGGGCTGGTGGGACTAAGGAATGTAGTTTGTTCGAACACTTGATCCAGCTATGGATACTCAGAACAAATTGTCAAGACAGGAAACCAAAACTAAAGACAAATATCAACACATTTTTATGCTAATGTTCACCCCATATAAAACCAAAGAGCCACTCAAAGTGTATGTTTTTGAAAAAAAAATATCACTTAATTTCTATATAGAAACATATTTCCCCCCTTTACATTAATCCTTCATTGGTAAAAATGACCAGAAATAAGTGAAATCTATTTTTTTTTCATTGTTGTCCATATTAGAACATACAAATAATAAGAACAGGGGTTTTATTTGACAACATTGCAAAATAAACATTTCTATGGTTTCATTCCTTTTACTTTATTGGACGTTAAGTGGCATCACTTCTTAGGATTATATATCCCCAGAAATTGCAAACACTCTGACAGCTCACCCACCACCATCAGAGTATAAAGGAATTGTTCTGTCATATCCCCATCTTCCACCCAAGTAATGATCTATTACCCAGAGTATACAAATACTTTACCTCATTTATATATATATATATATATATATATTTAGGCAGCATATCTTCATTCAAACATGTTTCATTGAATAATATAGACGTATTGTATCTACTTATTTCTATACTGATCCTTTCCAGTTGTCTAATCAGTTTCTTGATGTTAAGATGAAATTCATCAAGGAAGGTGCTGTAGAGTTTTTTTGTTTTTTTTTTTAACCCAAGTACTTTCAACCTTTTCTGATATCATCTTCATGGGTAAATTTAAAAAACAAACCTATTGTAACTGCAATAGAATCTGCATTCTATTGTGATAGTCATTTGAAAAATATGCATGAACACACTCTGTTATAGTTGTTTTAGAATTTTAAAATTTATCTTATAGTTATGAATTTTTTACAAAACGAAAGCTTCAATATAAAGGGAGCTGACCAGGAATTGGTAGAAATATAAAATGGCATTAAATGTTATGTGCACTTGCGTGTGTGTTTGATTAAAAATTAAAAGTACCTTGTTGATTTTTAATAATATAATTTTGATGTGCCGACTAGGCATCAGTGCATTAATGTGGAAGTTGAGTACTTTTTATACACATCTTGTTTTGAAACCTAAACACATAATATTCAGTGTAATGGAAACATTCAATGTGTTATGATTTTATTTCCCATCACTGTAGTTTCAGAGAATAAAATAATAATAAAAAAAACTTGTTATAAATAAAATTAGTTTGGGGTGGGGATAAATAAATATAAAAAAATTATTTCTGCCATGACTTTAATAAAAAGAAAACATATTTATAATAATTTCCATCATTTGTAAATAGTTTCTGAAACTTTCATTAACAACCAACAATTATTTTTATTTTTGCAAGATTTTCCAAATTAATGTCTGTTATACAAAAAAAAATGTGCTAAAAATTTACGTTATTTTACTAGTTCCAGTGATACAAAGAGAAACAAGATTTTTTTTTTTTAATCAAAATCTGTCTGTCTATAGAAGTTAATTGAAGACCCCCACAGGTATATTCTACAAAAGAAAATGCCAGACAACATAGCCTACTACTATTTCAAACAACTTACCAATACCCAACAGTACATCCCAGATAAGCAGTTTATTACTTGTTTTCAGGAAGTGATCTTTGGAGATGTGAGAAATTGTTGCAGGTGATTAAACCAATTACTGTTATGAGAATCAAAACAGAACACCAAGATAACATGTAGCACAACAGAAGGGATTGGCAATAAGCCAATTATTACAAAAAGGTAAGAGTTAAAACATAATTGCTGATTCTCACTGAGAGATTGGAAGTGAAGAATCCAATTTAATGAGCCAGCCAGGGATATTCAAAACAAATTGTTAAAACAGGTAACTGAACAATGCCATGAACTGAAGACAAATAGCAAGAATTTTTTGTACTGATGCTTACCCAATAAAAGGCCCAAGAGCCACTCAAAGTAGAGGTTTGCTGTGTTCATGAGGTTACATAAGAGTCAGTTCTACAATACAGCACTTCTTGGGAAGAAGCTGTCCAAGTGGAACTTCTTACTAATGGAATACGGGAGTAAATGAGGATGATTTATATTCATGTATGTGGCATGACAGTCCCCAGCTGCAGAGATCAGGGCAGGTGGAACTAAGAAATGTAGCTTGTTAAAACACTTGATCCAGCCAGGGATATTCAGAACAAATTGTCTAAACTGGACAATGACATGAACTGACAAATATCAACACTTTATGCTAATGTTCACCCAAAACAAGGCCCTAGTGCCATTCAAAGTAGAGGGTTACTGTGTGGTGTTGTACAAGCATAAGAAAAGGTAAGAAGTTCATGAGGTTATATAAGAAAGATAACAGTTAACCCTACTTGAAGAGGTCAAGATTGAAATGATTGGGAGAACATCCTGCTGGGAGTCTGTTCCACAAGGCAGCACTTCTTGGGAAGAAGTTGTCTGAATGGGACTTGCATTTTTTTAAATGGAATACAGAGGGAATGATCTTTGTGTACATGGCATGACAGGTTCCAGCTGCAGTGATTCGGGCTGGTGGAACTAAGGAATGTAGCTTGTTAGAGCATTTGCCATGGAAATAATGATAGAGTAACAAGAGGCTTGCAACATTTTGTCTGTGAGAAAAGGGTAGGAAATAATTTAACGTCCACAAGACTGCATAGACACTTTTGAATTTTTTTTTTTTTTTAGGCATTTCACCCCAAGCAAGGTGAGAGTGCCACTATTACGCAAGGGAGTTACAGAAAGTGTAAATAAGGAAAAAGACTGGGTATTGGGGTGGGGTTGAGGTAAGGATAAAAAGAATGAGGATCAAGGCAACAAAATGTCAATTGACATTACGTTTAAATTTTTGAAGATTATAGTTATCAGGGAAGCAAGTAAGAGGAAGGGAGATCTACTGTCAGGAAGTGTGTGAAAAGAAGCTGTTGGAGTAGAAGAGGCAGTTACATTTAATTGTTTTGACAGTAAAAGAGAGGGACCAAGATGCCAACATTGTAGCACGCTTAAATTCATGCAGCCAGTGAAAATTACTCATCAGAGCAGATGCCATGAAAATATTTGTACAAAAAGAGGGAAGCCATGTTATGTTGGTGAAGAAGTGACTGGAGTCAAGATCCCAAGTCAGGACCGATCACATTGCATGTCTGTTGTAGAGTAGTTTCACAGTAGAGGCTTGTATTTCACTAAGTCAGTCCTAAAATAGGTTTGACACACAAAACATTAGGAACTTGATATAATAGGTAATGACGCAGAGAAATCTAGTTGTGGTCGCTGATACTTTAGGATCCGACTAACGGTCATCCGACATCGACTGACTAACTCCCTGAGCGACTGGCGACGACTACTACTACTTATTATAGGTGGGAGAGTCTATTAACAATAGAATAGGTGTGTTCCACTATAACAATAACCATCTTTGGATTTTGTTGAGAATCTTCAAGATGAACAGCAACGGCGCCAAACCATATATGGCAACAGTCTTCCATGCATGGACAAATGGTACATTTATAAATGTGAAGGATGGACTCAGACAAGAAAAACTTTCTGATGCAACACAGAAAACCAACTTTCCTTGCAGTAAAAGTGTAGACTGGGCAGCTCCTGTCCCGATATGGCAGCAATACTCCATCTTGTTCTTCAAGTATGTAATTCATTAGAAAATAGGGATATATTATACATTCAATATATCAAATAAAAAAAATAGTAAATAAATTGGCTCAGTTCATACTATGACCCCCAACCCCCACCTTGCGTATAAATTAGAATCCCCAGTGCTATACAGATGGCTTTGAATAGTACCATCTGCTTGGCTTAGCTGACTGGAAATGAACTGAATCACCATTTTCTGCTGAAACGATGGGGAGAAAAGAAATCTTCCTTTACCGATTGTATACCTGAAGGCAGCTGTAAAATGGAATGGGCAGAAATGCTAACAACATGAGCAGAACAAAGATTAAGATTCACTGCCTGAAGTACTCTAGGAATGTCTGACATGATCTATAAATCACATATCAAATTCCATCCATTATTTCACCAACCAGGTTGTGTTACAGAAAAGAGGAAGTGACAACTTCAACAGATGACTACAATGTGCCTTTGTAAAAAATATTGTCAGATAAAAATCAGCACTTAAGATATTTTGCTTTGTATGATTCAAAAAATAAAAAAAATAAAAATTCTAAGCAACCAATTCTAATTCAAAAATTCTAAGTTAACAATAAATTTCAATTAAATAAAGAAAATCAAATCATTGTAGTTTTAAAAATGAATGGATACAAATATTTCTTCAGGATTGATATAAATATCCACACAATCTAAATATTTTAACAAATTTTCAGCTGCCAAATTCAAGAGAAAATTTGTTTAATCAAATTGTAAAAAGCTTTAAAATCTTTTGGCACAAACATTACAAAAAAAAAAAAAAATAAAAAAAACACCTCAAATTACAATTTAAATTCAGACAAGAAAGAAAAATAAAAATACACTGAATTCAATAAAATCATGTTTCCAAACAGTTGAATTCTTAAAAATAATGAAATAAAATTACATTTGTGCTTTATTTAAAATAGAAAATTAAAAATTCAAGGATATTCCTGTTTGATTCTGACTTTGAAGAAAAAAAAAAAAAAAAAAGTGTTAGCTTCAGAAAACCATTACTTTAAACATTATTTTTTAGTGGATACCCATATTTGAGTATATGTCTCATTTATTTTTTAAACAGTATTTTATCTACTGGCCTGAGCATTCAAGAAAACTTATTAAAAGGAAATGTGCCCTCAAACAGGATTTAAACTGTTGTTTAATCTGAGGTGCTTTGACCATTTGGCTATGAAGAACATCATAATTAAGCAAGGTTCTATTTGCCTTTAAAGCTTTAGAGCTTATGGCCACATTGTGTTGGAACACCAATTCCTGTATGATCACCAAAGTTAAGCAATGTTGAGTCTGGTCAGTACCTCGGTGACCACTTGGGAATACCAGGTGCTGTAAGCTTGGAGAGGCAGGTGGTATAATGGATAATGGCTTGGAATTATTAATCAGATAGCCGAGTTCCAATTCTAGTTGGGTTTCATATATTCATTTATGTACAAATACCCTTGGAACCTACCTGAAAACAATATTTCGGTCAGTCAGATTAAAAAAAATTAACCTTAGCTCTAGGCTATACTAAGTACCACCAACTCAAAACAAACAGTATATTTGTCTATTATAAAAAAATACAAAAAATGGCTGCCCAAAAAATTTGCATGAGTTTAATCCAAAATTACGATACGAAACAATACTCTGAATTTGTTATAACTTTTTTTTTTTATATACATGACATATCAATCAGAGTAAATCGCTATTTCCACAGATTCTTAACATGTAAAGAACTTACATTGCAGCTTTTTAAACACTTCAACACAAGTTAACTTACCTTGTGACAAGCGTATTGGGCCTGCAGCCAAGACACCATCCACAGCACACATTTTGGCCAATGGATACAATGTAATAACACCAGTAGTGTTTTCAATGAAACAATGTTCATTCTCAACTCCTGTGCCTTGAACAATAATATCCTGGGCAATTTTGGCATCAGGAGTACCAATCCTTGTAATGCCTTTAAAAAATAAAATAAAAATAACAATACAAATTGTGAAAAACATAAAATAAACAACTGCTAATATAAAGAGAAAAACATTTTTTTTTTAATTTTATTGTGAAAGAAATGATATTTAAAATAGTCAATCAATAACATTTACAATAAAAAAAAATATTTACATATTGCCAATGAACATTATACACATTAAATGTCAAAGCTTAAAAGCCAGTTTTAGGTTACTGAAAATTTTGCTATTATCAATACTTCCCTCTACTGCAAATTCAGACAGTACAAAAATACATATAACAAAATACTATAACATTAGTATTATTGATTCAATTCCCTATTTTTCTATAAATAATCATAACAAAATATTGTTTTCACATATTTGTCTCCAACCCATAGTGACATAAACATATTTATTTCGCATATTTATCTCCAACCCATAGTGACATAAACAGTTAATATTTTAAAATGGCTTGCATTTTTATGATAAAATAATTCATGATGCATTCTATACAGAAAGAAAAGTTTCAATGAATTCTGACATACAATTTTATTTATTTGCAGTGTCACTATATCAGGAGGCACTGAAATGTTTGAGATTTGATCAACTTCTCAAAATCTAATCAAATGAAAGAAAATTTGGGGGTTTTGTTTTTTGTTACCCTTTTTTAATTAAGTCAGACAAAGAACTTTTTGGTACCTCTTACATATGTAAATCATTAGGGAGAATGGAAATTATGATATATTTGCTTAATATATGCTACTCAAGAGATCAGAATACTAAATTCTGATAGAATATAATAGTTATATTTTTATTTTATTTTTGCTTATTTTTTCAAGGATCTTATAAATTGTGATCATCTCAAATTTGTTCCTTCACGAGAACATAATTTTTCATCAGAGTTTAACCAAAGTATTTATTCTGGTTTTAACAGAATTCTCTTAAAGAGACATATATACATATATATACAAAATGACTGCAAAAGACATCAGCAGCAACTGCTTGTTGGAAAAAATTATTTCTGGGAGAAAAGAAATATGAAGTTGTTTGAACAAAATTATATTGCTAAATACTAAGTTAATGTTGGAACAAATAATATTGAGTACTTAAAAAAAAAATAACCAAACTTTCTGCATAAATGCAGAGACTTATATAATAATAATGCAAATCTATCACAAAATTAAGGAAAGTGTTTTATGTAGTCTTCAAATTTGGTATCCCTACTTATCGGACACCAAAACAAAGTTTTAACCTCTCAAAAAAATTTTTAAAAATTTAAAAAAAAATTTTTTAAAAATTAAAAAAAAATAAAATAAATAAAAAAAATAAAAAAAATTTAAAAAAAAAAAATTAAAAAAAAAAAAAAAAAAAAAAAAAAAAAAATAAAAAAAAAAAAAAATTAAAAACAATTAAAAAAAATAAATTTAAAAACAATTAAATTTAAAAAAATTAAATTTAAAAAAATTAAATTTAAAAAAATTAAATTTAAAAAAAATTAAATTTAAAAAAATTAAATTTAAAAAAATTAAATTTAAAAAAATTAAATTTAAAAAAAATTAAATTTAAAAAAATTAAATTTAAAAAAAATTAAATTTAAAAAAAAAAATTAAAAAAAAAATTAAATTTAAAAAAAATTAAATTTAAAAAAATTAAAAAATTTTTAAAAAATTAAAAAAAAAAATGAAATAAAATAAAAAAAAATTTTTTTTTTAAATTTGTTCATCATTAAGGAAAGAGGTTTGTACATGTTTTTTGTTAACTGAATCCATCTTTAACAGAAACAATTATCATTTATATCAATGAATAATACAATAAGTTGTATTAAAATATTACTTTAATGACTATAAATTAAGATTTATCACTAAACTTGAGTTTATTGAAATATTCCTTATATTAAATCATTTTGATTGATTAATTCATTTTCTACAGGTTATCAAGCCTTTGCAGGTTATTTAAAGCTTGAAAATATTTTTTGGATTGCAAGAATCTATTTTTCCTTTTGAGAAACATATCCATCACCTAACTTCTATTAGGTACCCAAGAATAACTTGGTTAATGCAAGTCACAGTACAACAAACTAACGTGTTCATTTTAACTATCACAAAAGGCAATACCTTGTCCCCAAATCTACATCAGATCCTATACATGATTATATTTCAATCAAAAAAAAAAAAAATTAGTTTTTCTTAGGACCAAACAAAAAAGAAAACACTATGTTTTAACTCTTTGCCTGTCCTGCTCATCATGTGATGCACAGGCCATGCGATTTATATCTCCATGCATCATATGTGGTGCACACAAGCCATGATTTTAAAAGAGTGGTCAAACTGAGTATGCTCAAGAAAAGAATCTACTATTGAGCAGGATGTCTGAGGAAAGGCCTAATCTAATATTTTGTGTATCATGTATGACCACAGGACACTTGCCTGTTTTCAGATTTGTAACTACTGCAAAGCTTGTTTGACAAATAGAATGTGCTGTTTCACATAATAAACTGTGCATCACATGTGATGCACAGAGTGGAGTGTAAATAATTTATGATTCGTACGTTTTTATTATGTGAAACGCTATATATCCGCACATTCTATTTGGCAAATAAGCTGAATTGCCTTGCAATAGTTATACATCTGAAAAAAGCATGGACATTAAACACAAAAATGCCCTGGACAGGCAAAGGGTTAATATTTTAAAATTTCTTTTACCTCCCACATCACTACCACCAAAAAAAAATAAAGTTATAAAAAATTTGTGATAAACCTTTTGAGAATTTCATGGCCTCTAATAACTGGGCACCAGAATGCCTAAAAGGTACTTGACAAGACCAGGTGACAAGTAATAAATTCATGACAACCATTTTACAAGATAAGGAATAAAAAACAAAGAAAACAATAAATCAGTAAATAAGAATAGAAAATGTTGGTACAACTCATGAGTCTCTTCCTAGAGTTTTATCAACAAACATGTCAGTCAAATAAACAAAAAGTATCCTTGATAGATTTCATTTTCAGAAAGAAAGGTCAGTAACTTAAGGAAATTGAAGTAGGCAATCCTTATCAACACACTAATACCAAGAAAAATCAAAATAAATACACTTAAAGATGTCCTCCATGAAAAGAGCTGTAAAACACTGAACCAGAAATTGGGGATATTTACTAAGCTTAGTTGATGTGACAGACATTTTCTTTAAGATCACATTATAGTATTTGCTGTTAGATTTTTTTTAAATTCATGTCAGCAATGCTCTTAAACATATGATATATGTTTATTTCCCCCAAATAACTACCCATTGTAAGAATCTTTACTTATTCTATAGTCCTGAGATTTGCAACAAATTACACAGCACTTATTTCAATTAACCTCATTACTTAGAACGATTACTTCAAAACTTATAAAAATGTAAAAAGTCATAGTAATAATATAAGTGATAGATGGGTATAAAAAGGCACTGTTGATTATTTACGGTTAACTTGTTTAAATAATGTACTAACTATTGTTTGCATCACCTGGCAAAAATTTTAAGTTGAATGTTGCTCTAAAAATAAGTAACCTAGTATTCATTTTAAGTACTTTATATATTGGTGCCAATAAAATATACATTGTGTAGTAAAACAGGGCTACTAAATGGGAAGAGTCAAGAGTAAGACTAGCGTACACTCGGACGAGCAAGTGAAAGATATTGAGAGGCAGGAAATGCCAGTTAAAAATAAAATGGAGACACATATGTAGCAGTTAAAAGAAAAAATGCAACAAGAAAGAACTCCTTTAAAATTGCACATTTAGAAGTTTTAAGATCTCTGATTATTGGCGCCTTTCAGATTGCCTATTTATCTGTTTTGTTCCAATAACTACAAACAACTTTTATCCATTCTGTATCATAATGGCAATGAGAAAAATTATAGAATGAAAGTCAAAAGTTAAGTGTGGGAAATTTGTCTTGGCTTTTCCACATAAATGGGTTAAGATTAAAGGTGACAGAATCGATAAAAGCAACAACGGCTTGAAAATTTAGAGCGGACAATTCTCTTTTAGGCAGAAGAATAAAAACTCAAACTCCTGCTCGGGATGTAACAATAGAGGAAGAAAATGATTATTTACATACACAAAAAAAGGTAAAGGTATAAAAAAAATATGGGAGAAAGAAAATTCATTTAACTTAGTTAATTTAAGAAAAAGTGTTTATATAAAGGCTTGCTCAAAATATTTTTCTGAGCAACTAAACGTTTTTTAAGCAAGTAAATTGTTCTTAAGGGGTTAACACTCACATAAGATTTCTTCAGAGCTCTTGTTGAGGGAGAAACAATCAGAAGATCCATAGTTTGTAGTTGAGTGAGTTTGTAATAGAGGCAGGCGACAGAAATTTCCAGGTCCTAGGAAGTAGATCTTGAGTACTTTTAGTAGAGGGCTGCCATTCTGTCTTTAGAGCCCAGCATGTAGATTTCTTCCAAGAAACAGGTTCCAAAAATGACTGGTGCTCCGTTGCTGACCTGGTATCATTATGTCAAATACTCACTGCCAAAGAGGTGCATATCTTCCATATTTATGGAGATTAGAAGGAGCAGAAATATCAGGAACTTTTCCCTCCAAAATTGCTATACACTTTCTTGTTTTTTTTTTTTGGGGGGCTCTCATTCATCAGAAAATATATTCTTATGTCTGATAAGAATCACAGGTTTGGGAGTTGGTTTTGGAAACGAGGGTCCTACAAGTTACCCCCAACACCTGACTTTATGGCACTACAGTCAAGTCAAGGCAGAGGTGGTCAAACACCTTTTTATATTTTCCAGCTCTCTCTCATTAGTCAGAAAATATATTCATATCTCTGATAAGGATCAAGGCTTTGGGAGCCAGTTTTTGGGAGCAGGGATGAAAGCCAGGGCAAAGATCAGAAAAGAGGCTAGAACATGAACTCATAAACAATGTAGTAGTGGTTCTCAAATTAAATTCTAATATAAGCTTTGTTAGAAGGAAAAAAGTTAAAAGGAAATAATGTTGTAATTTGAAGTATGAAAAA